TTAAGTAATATCTGATATAGTGCAATAAATTCAATGCAAAGTTCGATTCGATATCTAAAAAATTATTTTTAATTTCTAAACACAAAAAAAACAAACAAAACACTCTTTGCTGCAACACCCTTTCTACATACGAGTATTGCATGTAGTGTATTTATATTTATCTTTCTAACTGCATCTGTTAACGTCATCAGATGCATTTTTTGAATTAATTTAAGATTTATGCAAAAACTATTTTTCTTCTTTTTTAATGTATTTTTATTTATTTCGTCCGTCCCCACAAGACAAACGACTTCGCACTCATGAGATTTTTTATTTGTTCTTTTCCCCTACTAACAGTCCAACGGTATACTGGGTTTGAAATCAAATTTGTAATAATTCATACAATTTAAGAGGAAGTTCCAAAATTGTATGAATTATTAAATTGTTATTTTTTCAATCATAATCTTGAAGCCTTGACTTATAATATTTCAAATTTATTTTTATTTTTTAAATGTTTAAAATTTTTTTTGGAAAAATGTTTATATCTTTATGATTTTTATGCTATGTTTCCACTGAGGTGTTTGGAGAAAACTAGTTGAAATCATGTAGATTTGCCATACATTTTTGACAAATCCAAATCTACTCATTCTACTAGATTTGATTTAAAACATGTTGAAAATGAATTTTGTCGAACAAGATTTGTTTACACAACACTGCGTTGTGTCTAGGATAAGCAAATACAACTATAGGCTATCCATTCAAATTGAAAGTGACTTTTCATTTTGAAATAAAAACAGAAGAAATTATAATTTTAAAATTATTGGAATTTAATAAACAAACTTATACTTTTACAAATGTAATTTTGTATTTTTAATATTTAAATTTAAAGAAATTAACATTACTGTCGTTTGTTTGAAAAAACGAATATCAAAATCAAGTAAGCTCAGTGGAAACACCTTGAAGAGGTTTACGCAAATCCAGTAGATTTCAGGCCAGCGCACAGTGCCACATTTTCCCAAACTGGAACGACAAAAGCCAAAATAAAAAATTTGTTTAATTTTCACGATTTTTATAAATAAGTGACATACGACTTCCAGTGGTATGGAAACATCGACAAAATCCGATAAAGTGTTCGTTTATGGAGAAATTTAACTCCAAAGTTTCACTTTCAAAATTAAATTTTTCTAGTCGTTAATATAGGTCAAAAAATATGATGTGTACAAAAGTGAATAACTTCTATGTGGAATTAGATATTTACACAATTTAAATTTTATATATAAAAGTATAACAACGATTAAAAATTATAAAATTTTATAATCTTATATTTTTATGACACTACTAAAATATCCTTAAATTAAACAATACATAACTTAATTTTTAATGGAACGCATCTTTTGAAATTGGTTCGATGTGGTAGTTGGACTATATAAGGGTGCATTCGCTAATATCTGTAGTATGTATTTCAAACGGTAACTTTTGCGACCCCGATAATTTTAGACTTATTAATACAATCGTCTAAAAGGGATATTTTTAGCGTCTATAGATTAAATATCTTTTCAATTTCATATGTATTATCTTAAATCTAATGCACATACTTGACATAAACTAAGATATAACCCTACAAAAAAGTAGGCCGTAATATCAAAGCCACGCCCACTTTATTTGCTGATTTTGAAACAGTTTAGTATGGACTTCTTTTGCAATATTTTCTTGAAAATTGTAGAAAAAATTCAAAAAATATCCGTCATGTACAAATTCATAAATTTTATTAACTTTAATATTCTGAATGAAATGGAAAAAAAGAACCATGTTCGATTCATACAATTTGTTACAATATTCATTCCAGTTACCTATGTATTATTTTTTTCTGTGTAATCTCTGATAAACCTCTTTATTTTTCCGTTTTCAAAAATATTTTCGAATCACAAAGCTTTTTCACTTATCTTTGCTTCAAAACTTTTTTATTACCTCAGGAAAATTAGACAAAAAACTGTACAATCTAGGGAATTTAAGATAGCTAAATAAAAATTGGCACATAGGTTCCCATTAGCATAATTAGTAAGGAATTAAAAGTCCCGGGAAATATCTTGTGCGCTTTGCGAGATATTGGAAATCAAAGGTTACAAAAATTTGTTTTTGTCGAATAACTTGCTTAATATGCGTCGTACACATTTGAATGTTATTATAATTTCTATAAAGAATTGAGTATTTTTGAGTATCATTAGTTGTTTTCGAGCTATAGTGCATTATTTTTCCATTGCACTAATATTTTCAAATCTTAATAAGATTGTACTAATAACAAATTTGTTATAATTTTTACGTTATTCATAAGCAGTTAATACATGCTTATACATTGTTACACGTTTTATCTCAAATGCGCTCTATGACCCATTGTGCAATGTCTGTCTATCCATAATTTCAGATAGTATTACAGGTCATATTTATGATCAGAATTAGACAAAAATTAGTGGTCACAATTCACATATTTAGAGTAATATTCCCACCAAATTTTATTAAAATCAGACTTTATCTTTAAATATTTTGTAAAAATTTTTGAATTTTCAAAAGAGTAAAAACACTGTGGTTTACATTAATATTGGAAACAAATTAAAGTCGGTTGTCTATATTAGAGCTAGTTGAAGTCGTAGTCTGATTTCAATGAAATTTAGTGGAAAATGTTCCTGATTTTGTAGATTAAGTCGACCAAATTTTTTCAAAATATATCCATAAATGTGACCTCTGACCCAATCAGAAATTTCGGATAGACAGACATTGCACTATGGGCCAGGGAGTGATGTAACAGAAATTCATTATGTACTTTTAGCTAATATTAAAAAGAAAAAATTAGACATTATCTGTATTGGTGTTAAAAATATTAAGAAAATATTCCTCAACCAAAATGTAGAAAATTCAATTCTCTCTCCCTTACTTATTATGCTAAGGAAAAGCTATGTGCCGATTTTCATTTAGCTATCTAAAATTCCGCAGCAAAGCCCTTATTTTCCTGGGCTATATAACCAAAAATACATTAACTGTAAAATTAATAACTTTAGGTAAATAAAAAAATAACTGAAAATTTGGCAGTATCTCTCTTAAAAGTTTTAATTTACGAGAATTTAGCAAAGTCCAGTAATACAATGCGATACAATAATATATTTAAATTTGTCCTAATTAACTATTTAGTAAATGGGCAATTTCGTGTCAAGTGATCACACTCAAAAAATCGATTTGGATGAAATTTGCACTAAGGTTAATACTAACTGATAGTAGGCCAGACATAAATTTTCAGCTCTGCCGGACTTAGAGGGGGTCAAAATTGGACATTTTGGTCATATAGGGTTTTATTCAAATAATTGTAACTTTTCACCTATTAGTCCTAGCAAAAATTGTCCAAAGGAGTTTAGATAGCTATTTCCTCATTGTTCCCAAAAAAAAAAATATTTTTTTAAAGTTTTTTTAATAATTTTTTTTTTAACTCCCTTTTTTGCTCATATGAAAGCTTATAAAATTTCCTTTATAGTCCCTTAAAGGAAATTGTATAAGCTCTCATCTGAGAAAAAAAAAATAAGGGAGTTTTTTTTGAAAAAAAAAATTATTTAAAAATATTTTTTTTTAATTTTGGATACAATGAGAAATAGCTTCCTGAACTCCTTAGGAAAATTTTTGCTAGGACTCATTTGAGTAAAACCCTGTATGACCAAAATGTCCAACTTTCGGAAGACATCGATTTTAAAAGTTTGGTCACTTGACACGAAATTGCCCACATATGATAATTATGAAATTGGACTCATAACAATTTTCTTTGAAAAAAATATTTAATTTTGTTTTAAAAACAAAATGTCTCCCGATTTTATGATATCATACCTTTTTAGAAGGTTTTTGTATCAGTATTCATTTATTAAAAATTCCAACTCTTCATCTGCATATCTGCGGCTGAAACCATTGATTTTTAGCGAAATTTTTTCGAATATATGTATATTCAAAATCATACGTTTATCATTGATTTTATAGGAAAAATCATGAACAATGAGCTACATTTCAATCTTTAATAATGCTCCAAAAAAAATTTAAAATTATTAAAGTATGCTTTTTGCAGAGAAAAGTAGTGCAAAAACAAAACTTCTATCATTAGCCTTTTACATGAGATGATACTTTAAATATTTTTATTTTTGTGGAACATTAATTTGGTGAAGTTTTATTAAATTCAAAAAAGGTATTATATCACAATTTCAAAAATATCTCGTGAAGCCTATTAAATTTAGTACGATATAGAACTTTAATAATATTAATAAGCATAAGCAATTGCAATAAATGTCTTTTATGTATTAATCTGTTTCTATTTTTTTATATAATATTCAAAAAAAAACAGCAGCAAACATAGTAAGAGGATTCATAAAACACGTGCACTAATGCAATTTTTGACAAATTCAATGTAAAATCGAAAATGCACAATTTACGAGGCTTTTGAACGATTATATGAAAACCCTTAGTATTCTTCATGAAATTCTATAAATTGAAATAATTGAAATTTATATTCTAAATTTTGCTTAAAAATGCATACTATTTAGGAACTTATTCTTAGCTTTAGTCAATGAAAACAGTTCATAGTATTTAGTATTTATGTTGAAATTTTTCTCTGTGTGTGTCCATTCAAAATTTAAAAAGCAAAAGTTTTATGCAACATTTAAATTACCCTTACACGTAGCACAATAATTTTTAAAAAGATAAAAATGCAAAACCTTTTTTCAAAATTAACAGTTTGTATATAGTAAGCAAATATAAATAAATTAATGTTAATGAAAAAATGTGTTTTATAATATCTTCAATGTTTTTTGTTTCAATGATTTGAAAATTACTCAACTCGAATTGTGATATCTTCAAAACATAGGTGTGTTCACTTAGTAAGTTTTATACTTTTTTTCCCTTTCAACAGTTTCGGATATTACGGAGCTCCATAGTATGTTAAAATATATTGCAAAATACTCCAAGAAGCACAAATTATATTAAAATTGAACACTTACCCTGGATCGTTTGGCACTTCAGAGGGCGATGCCATTTCCGGTTGAACGGGTGTTGATTGCTGTTGATGTTCAATCTTCATGTCCATGTTGCTATCAATACAAGCCAGGACAAATGAACAAAAACGATATTAATTTGTATATTTATTTATATATTTTCTCTTGAATAAAATATTTCAATAAGAGAGAAAAAGGCAACAATTGATCACTTGATAAACAATTTCAATTATTATTACTTTTCAAAATTTAGTATTTACTAATTGATTTATTTCATTTAATTGAAAATAAATAATATTTTCATTATTTTAAAGCAAATTGTTTTATTTGTATATCTGAGTGTGAGTAAAAAGTGTGCTTATATGTATGTACAAAAATGAGTATATTTATTTATATTTATCTCAATAAAAAATGGATCCGCTCGCGGAACAAAAGGCAAAAAGCAAAGGCGGTTTTGTCGTAATTGATTTTTATATTTCTTATTTAATTTTTCTCTATATCATATTAATTTTATTTAAATAATTTAAAATCATCGGAACTCATTGCATATAAAATAACAATAGAATAACACTGAAAGTTTTGAACTGATTTGATATTGCGTTACTTTTCTTATTAAAAAACAAACACATATGAATCTTGGGAGCACTTCGATGAATTTGATTTTATTTGATATTTAATATAAGGCGATTTCTATTTTTTTATTTAGAAATTTACTAAGATTTTTAGTTGAGTTAAAAACGACCGTTCTTTTAAAATTTTAAATATTTTAATTCAGATACGTTACGACTCTAATGCCTACACTACACAGCCTTAAAATTAAGGAAAACACTTTATTTTCACATTTATTATCTTTGCATTCTGGATATTTTTTGTTATTTCAAAATTTAACAAGAGATTTGTTAAATTAATTGATTTTATTTTTTTTTTTTTTTTTTTTGTTTTTCTTCAGAGATTGTTGTTTTGTATGAAAAATATTTATCAAAGAAACTGCAACGACAAGATTTATAAGATATTTATATACATACATATATATAAGAAAAAATACATATGTAAGTACATTTGGGCGACCCCAAAATGGAAATTGCCACCGCAAAATGAAAATTGAGTTCAATTCTCCAAAGTTTTGTCCGGAAGTCAATATTTTGTGAGGACAAAAAGGTCCTTCTTTAAGTTTTTATGATTTTTTCACATTTCTGTAAAATGAACCGTATACAAATTTAACATCATATGAAAAACGATTTCAATGTCATAACGCAATTTTGTATACGGCTCCAAAAATTTTTCAAATGTATGCATCTACATCAAATCCGAATAAATACACATAGGTCACTATCGAGCCTGTTGTACGCTCCTTTTCATGAAAAATTTTTGTTGCTAAAAGCAAAAACCTATTCACTTAATCGTCCGATGTTCAGAAACTCATTTCCCTGGACGCAATTCCAAAGAATTTTCCAATCAGTGTTCGTGGAAATGTTACATCCGGAATAATGGCTCAAACTTTTGCATCAAATTCAAACTTACCGCACAGCTCCTTACCTGTGCCCAGGACTCACGTTGTCCCTTTTACTATGCGTATAATATTTTTCAAAACACGTACAGGTCCGGATGACATTTCTGTCATTGTTCTTAGAAAATGTTCATCTTCACTCGCACGTCCAGTCTTTCCAACCGTGCCGTCCAACCAATTCCCAATCAAGGGAAATCCTCAAACCCAGACAACCAATCCAAAGTTGTGGAAAGCTTTCTTAACTTCCACTTAGTCAATGATACTTGACATTATGTGATTTTGTATCAAAGCAAAGTATTATTTGAAAATGTCTCGTAATCTGAAAATTTAAAACATTTTGTAGTTTGAAATGTATTGAGACTTTAAATTTTTTTCAAAATCTGTTTTTTTTACAAAATGCACAATTTATTTATGGTTCTCTTTTGGATTTTGTTAATTAATTTTCTTTTATTGTTCACTATAATTTTCTTCATAAACCATTTCAAATTAAAAATAAAGCAAAAAAAATTTTCATAATACATGAATGAAAATTATTCAATACATTTTGACAACAAATTTGATTTTGTATTAAAGACATGAAACTCTGATACCCCATTTAACTACCTAGAATCAAACTAACTTCTTAAAAAATAGGCATTCGCACCGTTCGATATACTGGCGACCTTACGGCACTTCTCTCTGAGCAGTGGTGTCGATCAATTCCTCGCATAAATGTCGATCAATTCATCGCACTTGATATTCCAAAGTCATTTGATCGGGTATGGCATGAAGCTCTAATATCTAAACTATTTGTAGTTCGGAATGAATTTTCGCTCTTTATTTCAATATCTGCCACTTATACTCATTTGATCATGGACCTGATTCTTCTGAAATCAATATTTCAAGATTTAATATGGGTGCCACTTTAAATCGCGATATAAATACGATAACCATTTGCGCTATCACCCAATGTTGTCTATTGGCTCACAAACTACTTATGAGTCTACTTTTACCCAACCTATGTATGGAGGTCGGGACAAAATAAAAAATGACTTCCGATAGAATAGTCACATCTTCGAAATTGCGAAGGAAACATTCAAATGTTTAGGTTTTTTGATACGTTGTAAACGTGTGTTTGTTGTTACGCTTTCACGGCAAAACTCCTGAACCGATTTACATGAAAAGCTAATAGGTCTAACTCCAAAAGGAACAGTAGGCTATATAAGATCATTATCGGATGCCACGCTCTTTCTACGCCCACTTTTTGTAAAACTATTATTACACCAATTTTGCAATCACAATATGCAAAAACTAATAAACCGTTTTACCTGAAATTTTGCATACCGATACGTATAAGCTCGGAAAGAGCTATAAGCTATATATAAGACCTTGATCCGATGCCACGCCCCTCTCTACGCCCACTTTTTATAAAACTATCCTTACCTATATCCTATCCTAAAATTATATGAAAGAGAATGTCTGTTTGTTACGCTTTCACGGCCAAATTAATGAACCGATTAACATGAAAATTAGAACACTAATAGTTCTGTTCTAAAGTAGAACAATATGTTATATAAAATTATGATTGGAAGTCATGATTCTTCCTATGCTCACTTTTTTTTATATAATTATTATACACAATTTTCATTCAAGACTTACAGATTTACATGAAATCTGTTATAATAAATGGTGTGGACACATTACATCTTCAAAACGTATAATATATAATAATAAATATATGTATATGATACTCTTTTTTTACTCTTTCACTACATAGCGATTAAATTAAAATTAATCCTAGAAAGTTGGTTTTGAGTACTCAATTAGTAAATTTTGTTTGTAAGTTTAAGCGCCCAATGGAGGTGGTTTAAACTTAAGCATGAAATGCAAAAGTGTAAACAACTGATGCAAAAAAAAATAATACAATTTTTATAAATATAAACATTAAAATGTCTATTTATTTATTAGTATAAATTAAGGACACTTCAAAATACATTTTTTTGTTTTAAATTTAAGTGTTCATTAATTTTCATATTAAATGCTTTGTTTTGATAACAAACAGACGTTTTCTGTTGTTTTGTATGGCAACACTGCGAAGTTTAATCTTGTACTCAAAAACATCAAAGGGGATTAAGATCAGATTAAATTTATTTTTAGATTAACTAGTCTGATTACTAATTGGCATTTGATTGCCAACTCAAACCCCCGCTCTAAGTATACCAATCAGAATCATTTCTGACTCGATTTAGCTATGTCCATCTGTCTGTCCTTGTTATCTATTTTCAATATAATTTTATGAAATTTTGCACAAACGCTTCTTTTAAAAATGGTTAAAATCGGTTCATTATTCAACTTAGCCGCCATACAACCGTACCACCCAAATATAGCTTTTGAGTGTAAAGTTAAATTAAATGTTCTATTATCTCTACAAAAATCAGCAAAACTTTGTTTCACATACATAAATCTAAATGGTACTACCGATTTTCGTGATGATTGGGCTGCATACAAAATACCCTTTAGAAAATGAAGATGAATAATTCACCTTTAACACAAGTATTACGATGAAATTCTGCATAAATAACTTTAAATGTTAACGTAAATCCCTCTATAAGAATAGACCCATATTTACTTTACCCCATATAACTTCTCTTCCAGAAAATCACATTTAGGTGAAAAAACAGTTAAAACATAACATACGTTGTGTTGATTTTAACAATATTTTTTAAATAATATCCGACAGTTCATCGTTATTACAGTTATTAGTTCTTAGGGTAATAGCAAAAGAAGTCGGTCACTCTTTAAAGTTGTAATTATGAAAAAAATGTGAGGCGCCCGGTTATATGGAATTCAGTTGAAATAAATTATTTTAACCATTCTGAATAGACTTCCTCGTACTTGTGCTTAAATACTTGTATTTTTCACATTATTTTGAAAATTGCTACCTGTGCCGCGCATACAAAGGGCATGTGTAATTCTAATATTTTTGGTGCCAACACTGAAAAAGACTCTATATGATATTAATTGTATGCTACGCACATTTTTAAAAGTGCGTGTAAATATTTAAGGAACATATATGGCTATATAAATATGGACCTTCGGTGCTTTGCGTTTTCAAAATTTTTTATTCAAATCAATCTATTTTGACGGCACTTTTTACATGTTGCAACTTTTAATGGATCTAACTTTTTATAGGGACAAGGTAACTGCTTAGAAGTTATTATTGTCTTATTTAAAATTTTGTCAGAAAACTAGAGGATATTTTTAAAAAATGTTACGGCCCGCCACATTTAAAAACCTAAAAATAAATCGGAAAAATTTAATAATTAAAAAAATTTAACCTAAATATCTCTTAAAGCAAAAGAGATAACCCACACATGTAAGCATGTTTTTTGTAGATCTACTCAATTCCTTATTCCGATCAGAAATGGATTTTTTGCGATTTTTTTCAAAAATTTAATACCCGAGGTTATCAACTTTGAGGGGCTACCCACTGGCTTCTATTACATCCTCGACCACCTACAACTGTCAATCAACTCGAAAACATCTAAGCTCCAAACATGTGAAATTTCATTGTGATATATCCATTAGTTTCAGAGATACCGAATTATTTCCAAAAATAAAAGTTTTTAAACCACTGTGGAAGGTTAGGTTAGTTAAACATCATCAAATACACATATACCACTAATTTCGGGCCTGTTGTGATCTTAATGAAATGCAATGACCTTTTTCCGTTCTTATAGTATGTGAGAATTATTATTTATTTAAATTAATCAAAAATTTATTTTGTAATTGATTTAATTAATTAAAAATGTAATTAATTTAATTTATTATCAAAAATCGATTTTCATCTAAAGCGTAAAATCGGTTTTAGATCCGTATGTAATACTCCCATCGCTTATATTTTCCACCGGAAAACTATTCTTATTTCAAAACCTGTAATCGGCTGTATATCCTCAAAAAAACTATTTTAAAAAATAATCGGATGTAGTTTTCTATGATCGAGAAAATTATAAGCTACATTAGATCTTGAATAAATATCTACGATGCCACATTTGTATGCAGAATAAAAACTACTGAACAAAAGCCGCTTCTAAATTAGGGTAAATAATATATTCATATTACATTTTCACAAAAATTCTCAAATTGAAAAAAAATTCAAATTAAATAATGATTTTAAATAATTCCATTTACCATTAACAAATTCCGAAATTTTTTTAATTAGAGGAAGATGCGGATATTTTAATAAGTAAAACAAGTAGGAAAGTATCGTCGGTCATGGTCGACCATATAATACCCTACACCATGAGTATATTTTAAAAATTTTTATTTTTCATAACGAAACTTTTATGTTGAATTTTACCTTAATTGCAAAGTATGTCAGCAATTTTTTGACAAAAAACAAATTTTCTAAATGAGGCTTCATATAGGAGTATAGGTCAAACATGGGCCGATCCTCATTAAATTTGGGAAAAGGATATATTTCTAAATAACAGTTAGTTTTGTTGAGTTTCATTGCGATACAAATGGTTACAAGTCAATTTTAGACGTTTAAGACATTTTTTGAAGGGGGGTTTGTATGGGGGCTAGGGTCAAATAAGGGCCGATTATTACGAAAATCTGCAGTGTCATTTATACTTTTATAAAACTTATTTGTGCCAATTTTTAGAGAGATAGTAGTATATTTCACGTAATTATGGCATAAAAAGTCCAAATCGGGAGGTACGGTTGTATGGGGGCTAGGTGAAATAATGGACCGATTTCAACCATTTTCAATAGGCTTCGTCCCTGTGCCAAAAAACAAGCTTGGTCCAAATTTCATCAAATTATCTTGAAAATTGCGCACAAAGTTTACATGGACAGCCAGCCAGCCGGACGGATGGACGGACGGACATGTCTTAATCAACTCAAAAAATGATTCTGAATCGATCGGTATACTTTAAGGTGGGTGTATGACCAATATGTTTGTGTGTTACAAACATCAGCACAAACGTATAATACCCTCCCCACTATAGTGGTGTAGTGTATAATTATTAGTAATATATTGACCTTAAACCTTTATTTCTTCGTATTTAATAAGTGGTGTCTAAATCCAGCCAAAACTTTAGTGTGGATGCATAAAAGCTAATGAATAAAAATAATATTTTTAAACATAATTTTGTGGTTTTACTCTTTAATGATCAAAAAAGTGTTTATCAAATTAAAAGTTGTTTTGATTTCTCTGTCAAGATTCATATTTTCCTAGGACAGAAAAAAAGGAATTTTGTTTTTTTTAAAGGAAATTGAAATCTTCCAATGAGTCCAAATTTTTCATAACGTTTCAGAGTTTTTGCAATTGCATAT